GGGGGGGGGGGGGGGGGCACATGGAAAAAGTAGTGGGCATAGAAAAAGAGAGGGGAGGGGGAAAAGAGGGGTAAAAATTATTACAGCTGGTCTTAATGTTTTTTTTTTAAACACTCGTCTTACTGCCCTCTATCGAGATAAATCAAAATATGAATTCCCGTTCATACAAAATTTTCGAGATATTCTCGTTTTTCTGATTTTGGCATTTGAGCGTTAATGTGACGTTCCATAGTACGGCTAAAATATGGAATGAACATTTTAGATTCTGGCTGCCAATTAGTATAATTAAGTTACATTTACGAATTGCACATGGTAATTCTACATGCGATTCGTGAACGGAGGCGCATTCACTCACGAATTCGTCTATCCACAACTCGAGAATAAGCACTCAGAATGACTTAAAAACTCACGTAATAGAAATTTATCTTCTTTTCTATTTTATATTATGTAATATCTGAATACGGGAATCGGCGTGGAAAAAGAAAATATGGGAAACTTTCTTCCGAGGAACAATTCTCCAAGAACTTTATTCAAAGCAGCATTTATTTTGGAACCATTGTTACAGATGCCTTCGGTATCGTATTACCAATAGAATTGGTAGAGAGAGAAAGAGAAAAGACTAATAACTAATAAAGTTATGGTCACATTATTTCTGTCGACTAGGCTTGTAACCCTGCTTTTTCTTATTCTGACTCTATTTTTTTTAACGTGACTATTATTTCATCTTTTCTCACGGTACTTTTGTTTTTATGTATTGGCTTTGATTTTTAGCATTCTCTTTTTGAACGTTTCAAACGTTGCGGCGCCCAACCTTTGTTTCGCCGACTTGGTTGTGGAGGGCTGCGTATTTTGCGATATGTATATCGTCTTAACCATATCGGTAGGAATGTATTCCCGGTCGGGATAAAAATAGGTGCACATGACTTTCGGTGAGGTTATGTTTCGGTAGGAATGTTACGAATGAAAAATTCATGGATAGTCTTGTCGCAAGATGCAGTTGTGCTGATTTAAGTTGGTAAACCTGCAACATGGTAGCAGTATGCAGTGGCTGTTATATGTAGGTTGGCTTCTTGAAAGGTGCAGCTGTGTACAGAGATAAGGCATGATCGGATCGACCGGCTTCCTGATAGGTTTGTTCCTGATGGGGATGTACATTTACAAAATCACTGAGAAGTGATATCCTCTCGGTGGAGTTAAAAAAAATCGTTTGGGTTGGGGTGTTGCTTAATGTGCATGTAAAATGTGCAGTTGTGTATAGTTGCACAATTATGCTTGAAATAGTTATAATCGTCGCAAGGGCATAAGTATTGCATTATGTGTGTATGATGGATATTTTTTTTTCACATGTTGCTGAGAACCGTCTTCATCCTCATCTCGAAATTTCAGTCATAGGGGTGGTGATGGCGCGGGAGGGGGTTTAGGGGGGCGAAGCTTTCCGGAGAAGTTGGGGGGGGGGGGGANCAGAACCCCCCATTGAAAAAAAACCAAGAGCAAAATAAGAAAAAACATCAAGAATAACGAGGGAATTGAAAAAGAAACTTTTTATTTTAAATAGATTGTTTGCAACAAAAAAAGCAAATTACAGAATAATTTGCGAAAACACAGCTCCAATTTTGTGTCATGAATGACAAATTCATTACTGATTTATTCATTTGGTGTTTGAATGGCTTCATCAAATATTGAAAAATGAAATATTGATAATTATCCCGGTGGCTTGGCGCAGTGGGTAAGTTCGTTGCCTCACGTGCTAAAGGTTCCGAGTTCAAAACCCGGCCAGGTAGAATGGTGAGATGTAACCATTTGTCTTGATCATCATCGCAGCATACCCTAATCGAGTCGAAGCGATGTCAAATAACGATAAAAAATATATATATTGATGATCAATGTTGATTTCAGAACATTTTTGCAAAATATTAACTGTTTATTATTTGCGAAATGCTGAAAAATCACATCAGTCAATCCCGCTAAATCTTGAAACATTCATATATTTTTGCTGAATTATTACATAAGAAAATGCTTTATGGCACGCCGTGCAATAAGACGAGTTTATTGTTCGAGCTTGGCGCAGCGTGCGATAAACTCGACTTCTGCACGATGTGGCATAAAATAGTATAGACCACTCGGGCATAAACTTCGTTTTCAACGAATGTGAATACAGACCTCGCCTTCGGCTTGGCCTGTAAACTTCACATTCGTCGAAAACGAAATTTGTGCCCTTGTACTCTAATGTACTATTAATTGTAATGATATTCTCTTACTTGAAAACAAATTGTTGGAAACATTCGCAACCAACTTCGCTTCCAATTATTTGGTGTTTTTAGTATATTTCACCGACGACCTGGCGCAGTGGGTAAGAGGGTTGCCTCACATGCGAGAGGTTTCGGGTTCGATTCCCGGTCGGGGAGAATGGTGATGACCTAACCATTCAAAGTCTTGATCAAGCGGCCGCTACAATAGATCTTGATAGATTTAGGTGGCATAGGGCGCTTTGTATGCCTAGTCGCTCCATTCCAATTCTAATTCTCTCTAGTATATTTCATGTCGAGTGCCACTGGGGTTTTCGACGAGTGTGAGGTAGGCACGCCGAGCCTTCGCCGAGCCGTTGAAAATCATTGTAGCACTAGGCGTGAACGATATTCTTCCGTAGTGTCTTTTACTTTTTTCAGTTCGGGAAAGGGTCAATACCAATCTTCGGACTGAGAAAAGTGATGGTTAGTACGGAAAATGAATTACATCCAGTCTTTAAAAATTAAAACCAATGACAAAAGTCTTTGAAATCTGTTTCTGGATCACTGTCGGATACATATCCGGCTATCCTTCTCGAATTTCGGAAATAACAAATAACAAGTTTTTATTTTCGATACCCATGGCCTGTACGCCTGTACAAACACAACTTTGCACAACGCTCAGTCAGCTCGTCAGTTCATCGACCATTGAGTGATTTGCTTCACTGGTTTAGGCTCTCTTTTTTTTCCTAGTCGTCTGGACGCTGCGAGATTACTATATGTCATTTGGCAACAATCGGGTATACCTAGAATATTTAAAAAGTTGATGAAATTAGTTGAAAAGAGTACAGGTTTAAAATAAACGTGTTGTTGCGTTTAACCCCCTCTGAGGTACCCGTGTACCCAGAATATTCGGCTACCATCGGTTCTACGTAATGAGATTTTCATGTACAGTCCATGGTAGCCAAATATTTTACGAATAACCGAATGAAATGTTATTCTCTCATTGATCAAGGGGCGTTATCACGCTGTAAAACATTATTTCACGAGCAAAAAGCAACCCATGAAATGAGGGTTTTCAGCAGAATGTGATGAAAAACATTCTAATACCATTCTATTGAACTTTCAAGATATTATAGATAGCATCAATATTTCATTTAATTTACAAGAATTTTCACAAGAAATGTGACGCAATTGATCCAGGAAAAATTATTATTCAAGTGAACTCAATAATATAAAACGATAAATGATGTACGATAGAAGAAAATGATGTGCAAAATGACCATTCGAAAGCAGATTGCTAATTTATTAGCCAAAATGGGTAGCTATATGAAAACAAACGCAATTTTCCTCTTGTCACAAATATTATTTACACAAATCAAAATACAAATACATATTCAATTTTCAGGAGACTACGAAGGACCTTATCCTCGATAGAGCTCAGAAGATCAGCCCGCAAACCGTGGCGCAGATTGCCTGTACCGGGTATCCACCCACCTCCCCAACAACGAGCTGCAGCGCCTCGTGTAGAAGATCCACGAATGGTCGTAATCCTCGACTGAACTGACTGTAAAAATAATCGAGACATTACATTTCAACGTTATGTGTTCCCCTGCTATCAACGAAAAGAAATTTTGAGTGTAAAAGAAAGCCTCTCCAGTAAAGTGTGAACTCATTTTTACAAAAAAAAAAATCAATTTTAAATAACTTCAGGATGTTTAACTGGAACCTGAACAGAAATTGTGGGAAGATTTACCGCCAACAACTGGGGCGATTATCCACTGTCGATCACGTAACAAATAATTTCTCGTTTTCATTTAAAAACTGAAGTTTTTTCGTTAAATAATGAACATAAATGAATGTTCAAATCTTAGATCAAGAAGTCATGAAACTAAAGTGTTTGAAAATCTACCGGAATTCATCAGAAGACGACAGATAATATGGAATCAATGAGAAATCAATAATAAAGAATTTCATAGGCGTTGTGTGGGAGGTACTTGCATTTTTGCATGGTGTATTTCACTTCATTGAAAAAAGGGAATTTGGATGATAATAAATGGAAAACAATTTTAAAGCATCCCGCGACTGAGATTGCATAGAAGTTTAGAAAAAATGAATCAAGTCACTCGCCGTGAAATCATGATTTCCTATCGGTATTAATTAATTATTGTTGTTATTAATAATAATAATTATTATTAACTGAATGTACATAAAAACTATAACATAACATACAATCACAAACACGAGGTATACACGTAGAAAATCCACAATTAAATGATTTAAATTGAAATTTACAAAAAATAAACTGGGAAAATACAAGATTCGTATTAAAATAAAATTGATTTGATCAAATGATTGGTTCGTAAAATTGACGACAAGCGCATAGTCCGATGAAGAAAGAAAAAACGATTGAAGACAGAATTAATAAATAATAATGTGCTCATGCATGTATTAGCCACGACCCAAAAATTATAGAGTGAGAGTGCGTGAGAGAAAAACGGTTAAAATGGTACGAAATGCGAAGTTTCGTTCTTTCTTTCCTTGACGTAATGCGTGAACCGTGGCTAATGCGTGTCACTTTTCCTTTCTCCCCTTCATCTCCCCTGTAAGGTCAGAATGCGTGAAACAATTGTCTGAGAGATAAATCAATGAATGAAGGAATGCAGAAATGATTTAAATTATCAAGAACGAACGATAATTGCGAGGGAATAAGAATGCTCATTGTGAATATTTTTATTAAATTTTCAAGTTTGATGACTTTCATCGCAACAAGTAATAAATAAATATACGCATTGCTCGGATTCATGGCATTTTCCTTGGAGATCCTTCTTCGATTTGAAATAGTGTTTAAAAATATAGATGTCTATTTTAATTATGGGGGCATTTTCTGGAAAAAGTCCTGAGCGGTCTATAGTATATGGGATGGGTTCTCCAAGATAGTAAAGATAACACATTTATCAATAGGACTAATATGTGTGCTCCAATTATTGAGAAAAGCTTGATCAATATCAGGCTTTGGAATGACTGATAAACCATGATAAAAATGTAGCGTTAAATTAATAATAATGGTTTTAGTAATAATATGTAAGAATATTTTCCCGGGTTGTTCACCCAGGAAAAATCCAAACTACTTTTTAGCCTTCTCAATCGCTCATATGTTGGGCGGCAGCCAAATTTTTACGGGAGGTTCGACGAAAACCGGCCTCTGAGACGGCAACTGTACAACTGCACCTTTTATAAACCTACGGACGAGCGACCCCACCAGATACGAGTCTACCTGTACAACTGCACCTTTTACATCTCTACCAAGCGACAGCCTCACCCAAACGATTTGAATATTTACAACTCTACCGCGCGAACATTACCATCCAGTGATTCGAGAAATTTACATTCCCACCGTGGTACAAGCCAACCAGCGCACGAATCGACCCGATGATGACTCAGCCCTGTACAACTGCACCTTGGGGCAAGCCTACCGATGTATAATTGTCACAATTGTCATAAATTCTGTACAACTGCACTTTGCGACAAGACTACCCATGTGATAGTGACTCATGACATCCCTACCGGAAAATGACCCCACCAACAGTTACGTCTACCCGTTTTAACCCCTACCAAGGATACAAGTTCACCCAAAATACAACCTCACCGATTATGTCTGGATAATATATCTCTTTGATTAGACTCATGAACGATCTTAAAATGCGTAAGATCGCAAGCTGAGATCGGAAATTGGTCTAATTGGTTGGTTTAAGTTCGGTGACGTGTAAGACCGATTGCCAATGTAAGATCGATACAACGATTAAGATAAAAAATGTAAGACCAATTTAGAGTCTTAGATAAAACTGTACTAATCAATCGATAAATTAATTATTGAATCGATTTAACGATTGATTAGTAAATTGATACATATTATAAATTTGCTCAATCATTAAATTAATGGTTTATTGAGTTACTAATTAAATCATTAATTTTGACCCGTAGATTTTGACCTTTAGAGTTTGACCTTGTATTTTGACCTTTAGTTTTTTACCTTTGTGACCCTTAAATTTTGAACCATGGATTTTGACCCTTGTGACCCTTAGCTTCTGAACCTTAGATTTTGACTCTTATATTCAGATGCTTACGTTTTGACCCTTATGACCCTTACAATCGAAACCTTGGATTTTGACCTTTATATTCAAGCCCTTGTACTTTGACGCTCAATCCTTAAATTTGAAACCTTAAAATTTGACCCTTATATTCAGACAATTGTCGTTTGACTCTCATGTCCCTCAAATTTTTACCCTTGCGACCCTTATATTTTGAACATTCGATTTTGACTTTGCTATTCAGACTCTTGTATTGTGACCTTATGACTCTTAGATTTTTAAATTCTGAAACTTGGATTTCAACTCTTATATCGCGTGAGTTGTGCCAAAAGGTCGTATAAAAATTTATTTTGATTTTCCCGAAAATTTGAATTTAAAATTTTTTGAAAATCCGGGCCAAAAGATCGTATACACNGATTTAAGAGTCACAAGGGTCAAAATTTGGGAGTCATAAGGGTCAAAATAAAGGGATCTGAATATCAAAGCCAAAATCTAAGGTTCAAAATTGTAGGGTCGCAAGGGTGAAAATGTGAGGGTCATAAGAGTCAAANAAAAAATTCTTTAATTCGGGCCAAAAGGTCGTATAAACACTTTCCCAAGGAATATGAAATCGACACGTTTTGGATGATTCTGAGTCATCTGAGAGTAACTTTTCAAGACAAATTTTTTGCTGTCAAATCTCAAAACAGTCAATTCGGATTTTTCCAAATTGAGCCAAAAGATTGTATAAAAAATTCCTGTGGGAGTAGAAAATCTCCAAGTTTCAGATGAGTCTGACTCATTTCGATGTTACTTTTTGAGACATATTTTTTGGTTTACACAGAGGGACTTGAGAGTTTTTTTTACGAAACCAGAGCGTATTCCCGTTTTTTGAGGGATTAATAAACGTTCATGCTTAGATGTATACGACCATTGGACTAGAATGTAAAAAAAATCTCCCAATTCTTTGCAAGCAGACTAAAACGATGTTCCGAAAAATTAGGTTCAAATGACCGAGAAATATCTGAAACGTGCAAATTTATTATTGCTTACGAAAGTATTTATTATTTATTATTCCCTATACGTCCGGTTTATCTGAATTTTCAAAAAATTTACAAATTCCCTGTAAAAAAAATAAATAATCTGTTTCGTAAAATTGGGCTCAGATGACTCAGAATCATTCAACACGTGGAGATTTCGAATTCCCTGGAAAACTGTTTATTCGACCTTTCGGCTCAAATTTCCAAAAAATTGAAAAAATTGCGCGTACAAAAATGACAAAATTGGTCTCGTAAAATTGGGCTCAGATGACTCAGAATCATCTGAAAGGTGGAGATTTCATATCCCTTGGGAAAGTGTTTATACGACATTTTGGCACAAATTTCCGAGAAAACGAAAAAAAAAAAGTTTATACGAGCTTTTAGCACAACTCACCCGATATAAGAGTTAATATCCAAGATTCAGAATTTAAAGGTCACAAACGTCGAATTCTAAGGGTCGTAAGGGTCTGAATATCGAAATCAAAATCCACAGTTAAGAATTTAAAGGTCACAAGGGTAAAAATCTAAGGATCATAAGGGTCAAAATACAAGGATCTGAATATAAGGGTCGAATTTTAAGGCTTCCGATTTAAGAGTCACAAGGGTCAAAATTTGGGAGTCATAAGGGTCAAAATAAAGGGATCTGAATATCAAAGCCAAAATCTAAGGTTCAAAATTGTAGGGTCGCAAGGGTGAAAATGTGAGGGTCATAAGAGTCAAACGACAATTGTCCGAATATAAGGGTCAAATTTTGAGGTTTCAAATTTAAGGATCGCAAGGGTCAAATTCTAAGGGTCATGAGCGTCAAAGTACAAGGGCTTGAATATAAAGGTCAAAATCCAAGGTTTCGATTGTAAGGGTCACAAGGGTCAAAATGTACGGGTCAAAATTAATGGTTTATTTAATTAGTAACTCAATAAACCATTAATTTAATGATTGAGTAAATTTATAATATATATCAATTTACTAATCAATCGTTAAATTGATTCTATAATTAATTTATCGATTGATTAGTACAGTTTCATCTAAGACTCTAAATTGGTCTTACATTTTCGATCTTAATCGTTGTATCGATCTTACATTGGCAATCGGTCTTACATGTCACCGAACTTAAACCAATCAATCAGACCAATTTCCGAACTCAACTTGCGATATTACGCATTTTAAGATCGTTCATGAGTCTGATCAAAGAGTTATATTATCCAGACATAATCGGTGGGGTTGTATTTTGGGTGGACATGTATCTTTGGTAGGGGTTAAAATGGGTAGACGTAACTGTTGGTGGGGTTATTTTCCGGTAGGGGTGTCATGAGTCACTATCACTGGGTAGTCTTGTCGCAAGGTGCAGTTGTACAGAATTTAGGTCGGTAAGCCTGTAACGTGGTAGGCTTGTCCAGTGACAATTATACTTCGGTAGGCTTGCCCCAAGGTGCAGTTGTACAGGGCTTAGTCATCATCGGGTCGAGTCATACGCTGATTGGCTTGTACCACGGTGTGGATGTAAATTTCTCGAATCATTGGGTAGTAATGTTCGCGCGGTAGAGTTGTAAATAT